TTCCCACTTTTGTTAAACATGAAGGGCCCTATCTGTTTTTCATCTTCATCAATACGCCCAACTCACTGTAAAAAAAATAGGTTCCACAAAATTCCTTCATGTTGTCCCAACACATAGATTAAGTTAACTTAATTGTTTTTACAAACTTAAGTAGATTGAACCTAAAACAATGAATGTGTCCCAAAAAACTCAAGAATTCTGTTAATAAAGCTCTTTTTAAACGAGTTGTTTGAACAAGCAGCAAAAATTATTTTTGAAAGCAGTTTTAAACATTTTTGAATACATCTTTTAAAAATATGACATACCTACAGTACATCAATTACTCATTACTCATCAATTAGTAAGCATATTTTAGCTGTTCAGTCACATGACAATAAAACCCAACAAACTATAAACCTATCAATCAGTCTGTCATCTTCATCAATATGACCAACTACACTGTTTTTACACATTTATGTGGATAGAACTAAAAACAATTAGTCCCTTTATTAATTCGGTTCGGCCACAGCGAACCGAATTAACCGCCATGAACCGCCAACTTATCCAGCAAGTTTTTACACAGCGGATGTGAAAATTTGAAAAATTGTGTTGATCCAGCTCGTTTTAAATGAGTAGTTTGAACAAGTAGCAAAAATAATTTTTGAAAGCAGTTTTAAACATTTTTGATTACATCTTTTAAAAATATGACCTACCTACATCTACTTCTAAATACATTTAATAGATATCCATCAACAAGTAAACATATTTCTATACATTCACATAACAATAAAACCCAACCGACTATAAACCTATATCTATCAATCTTTCTGTCATCAATATGACCAACTCACAGTAAAAATGGTGGGTTCCACACAATTCCTTCTTGTTGTCCCAACACAAATCAGTTGTTAACTTAATTGTTTTTACAAATGTAAGTGGCTTGAACATAAAACAATTGAGCTGTCCCAAAACAAATCTCGAAAACCATGTTGACTCATGTTAAATAAGTAGCTTGAACAAGCAGCAAGTCATATTTGAGAGTAATTCCAAACATTTTTGAAAACATCTTTTCACTATGACCTACCACAACAATAAATACATTTAATACCTATATTTATCCATCAATTAGTTCATAAACATACAATAATAAAGAAAAGCTACACTCAAATGCATGATACACATAATATACTATTAAGCATAATAAAATAAAATAAAAATCTATACAAAAGAATTGATATATCAAGTCTAACAAACAGGTAACTAAAATGTCTAGCCATAGTTCTTCAATCATTGATTCTTAAAGTTTCTCATCTGCTCATCATAATGTACAGTACATTAAATCGCTCCAAACAGACAGCATAGAGACACATGAGGGCATAAGATCTTACCTTTGTGCTAACGATACATAAACAGTCCATTCTTCAGAGCGCAACCTCTCAGCATCTCATCCAAGCTGCTCTAATCCTGTCGCTAAAATGTGCCAATGCATATGCATGAATGCATTGACTGCGCGACATGAACTTATTCTCAGTTGAGCAAACAGCGTACGCTTCCATATACTCAGAGAAGTCCACATCACCTCATGGCTGCTTACAGCGGCAGTGTGTCGGGGATGCTGAGGAGGAGGACGCCTGCACTCATATTGACGCGCGTTGAGAGTTGATAGGAGCATCATGGGGAGAGCGAGCTGCATAATGTGCTCCTCTCACCTCTGGACGCGAGCGCTCCAAGTGCACGTCAGTGTGTGGGAAAGCGCGTGCGTTCAAACGCCTCTGCCCTGCCGGTTCAGTATCAGCCAGTGGACTTTACGTTTGTTATGAAATCTAAAAATCATTAAATGTTTAACAAATGTTCAACACCATGCACACACACAGATATCATGATAAATGTGATGTAAAAAACAGAAATTGATTTCTGCTAGTAATCAATTTTGTTACTAATTGTGTTATTCTGGGATGTAAATTAATATGAATACATTTTCGATTAAGCCTTAAATGAACTTTTACAGAAAGTTAAAAAATAAATGCCATAAAATATATACTATTTTGTAGCAGAGACATAGAGCTCCATAAAAAAAGAGATTATTTTAAGGTTTTGTTGGTGATATGCCATTCATTGGTTCATGTAAAATGTTACATTTTAATAAGTGACTGATAAAAACAGAAACAGTTTGCTTTCCAATGATCTTTCAGTTGCGCTTTGTGTTGTTCAGCAGACAAAAGTAATTCAAACAGGTTAGGACAACTTGAGGGGAAGCAAATAATGACTGAAGTTGAACTTCTAAAAATTACAATTTATAATAAAAAGTATTCAATTAAGAAAACCTTAAAAATGTACTATAATTGCTGTTGTAATTACCAATAGATGTTACATATTCTGAATTTTAGTGTGTGCGTTTGTGTTTGATAAAGAAACAAATGTGCACAATGACACTGGTATTACATATGTATTACAAATGTAGACAAATTAAACTGTTTTTAAAGTTCACAATTGGTCAAATTTTCATTAAAGGTTATGTTTAGTGGAAGGGGTAATGTGAGGGAATATAATTTAAAAGTCAGCAAAGTCACAAAAATCGCCAAAATAAAATGCACAAGTGTGTGTTCCTGTCCTGGCCACCAAGTATTAAGTAATAAAGAGCATCTATTTTACCCCTTTTTCAAGATTTAAGATAAGTCTTTTGTGTCTCCAGAATGTGTCTGTAAAGTTTCAGCTAAAACATCCGTCAGATTATATTTTATACCTTTTGGAATATTGAATTTTCTGCTCTACACACAGCTGTTTTTGTTGCCTGTGCCTTTAATACTAGTTGTACCCACCCACCATTCCAACATGCCTGTGTGCCAACATGCCTGAGTGTGCCTCAATCTCCCCTCGGTTGCGTCAGATAAACAGCACAGTGACAGACATGAAGAAAGCAGATCTCATGTAACGTTTGTGAGAAGTACTGCAGTAAGAACTTTCCCAATGATTATTTAATGTATTTGTTGAAGAGTTGCAACGTTTAGTCAAACGCAATGTTGTTACAAAATTCACGCGAACACGCAGACACACACAGATTGCGCGCGTGTAACTTTGCACTGTTTTTGCATGGCAAATGTGACAAAACACAGGTTAATATCCACTGCTTTATTGATATCCGTTATGTTAATGTACAAAATGAACCTGATTTAACAACTACTAAATGTAATTGAAGCGTCTTCTTTTATAATTGTACTGACATGCGGCTGTGTCAATAAAGACGGTAAAAAAATTAAATAAAAAAATTTGCTGTAACTCATTAATATTCACCATTTTAAAAATGCTTTAAACTTGTAAAACTCATTCTTAAATCGCATTTGATGATTATTGATGATCACAGAAAACTGAACAGATCTTTTAATAAAAGTTGCATTTCGCACATCCTGTCATGTTGATATGATTATGCGAGTTACTATGGAGACATGTTAATACGCAACTTGGCCAATATTTACAAACCATTTCAGCAATGCTTAAAGCAGCCATTTTTTTATTTAATTTAATCCAACAAATCTTCCCACAAATTTGCCTTTAAAACAAAGTAACAAACACAGAGTAACTGATTTAAAATAATATTTTCATAATGTTTGACGGGAGTATTAATATGTATTTTTAGATGAATAGCACGTTAAAATCAACTAACATACCATATTCCCAATCCTAAGGTATTTATTAAGAGAAGACTCAATTGCAATTTCTTAAAAGTTCTGAAGGAAATACTAAAACACCACAAATACCATTCTTTGTTCCAGTGGAGATGTGAAATTCATCTCGATTCAAACACCACTGAATTACTTGAGAATTTAAAATGGTAGAAATGACAGTGTTATGCACTGTTAAATTGTTTTCTCTCCTCAGTGTGGCGGATTACATTCGGTCCCAACAGAAGGAAAATCTACCCACTCTCTAGAATGCGAGCAACCGTTTAAATGAAAAATGCATGACCAGACCTTATTCAATTTAAATGAGAAATTAGCATTATTAAATAACAAGGTAAGTCCAAAATATCTGCTCTCCTGTCATTCCGTTCAAAAGGTCACAGACTGAGCACCCTGCTCTTTATTTAGAGATCTTCTCATTCTCCATTCCCTTTAAAGCACAAGTCTAACAAGTACTAGATGTTCTAGTATGTTCAACAGAGATGAATCATAACTCTGATTCTTGAACATCTCATTAAGACAAAACAGTGACACTGACTGATTTTCTATAGCACCACTATAACAACCCCAACTTAATAGATAGTTCATTAAAAGTATATGAATAAATAATTACTGCAGTTAATTTACTCAGAGATTTCAATGACTTATATTCATTCATTAATTCATTTTCTTTGCAGCTTAGTGCCTTTAGTAATCCAGGGTCGCCACAGCAGAATGAACCGCCAACTTATCCAGCACATCTTTTACACAGCAGATGCCCTTCCAGCTGCAACCCATCTCTTGGAAACATCCATACACACTCATACACTATAGACAATCTAGCCTACCCAATCCACCTGTACCGCAGGTCTTTGGACTGTGGGAGAAACCGGAGCACCCGGAGGAAACCCACGCGAACGCAGGGAGAACAAGCAAACTCCAACTGACCCAGCCGAGGCTCAAACCAGCAACCTTCTTGCTGTGAGGCGACAGCACTACCAACTGCGCCACTGCGTCGACCATAATAATAATAATAAAAATACTATATACATATCAGACATTGCTAGTTATCTTAAGCTGTCGTCGAAAATTGTCACAAAAACCCAAATAAGCATCAACCAATGTGTTTCTATGAGCAAAACATTTTTGTGGTTTTGTTTGGGAATGAATCAGCATTTCTGATCGAATCATTGAACGAATACCAAATGCTTACACAAAAAAATGAGAGGTCATATTTTCGTGAGTCAGCATCGCAAACGTCAGCCTTTATTCTACAGTCAATAGCAACAACAACAACAACAACAACATCATCATCATGTTAATGTACCGCAGACAGCAAAGAAGCGATTCTGAGAGTGTGCTTACCTCTTCTGTTTGAGGAAGATTGATGGGCACCGGTTCTGTTGGTCCAGTAGTGCTGGGAGGGACACTGAGATTCCATTCATTAACAGGAGGAAATGACTCTCTGCTTTTAAGGCTTGAATCCTCTACGGGTTTATCCTCAGTATCCTGAAGGCTCACTTCATAATATTCCTGGATGTCTGAAAGAATTATCAGGTCGCATGAGATTTATTTGAAAATGCAAATTACACTTATCTTCTTTACATTACTATCAATCAAAATTGGCCGTGCTGCACATAATGTCCCTTCACACACACATAGCAGGTGACATGCTATAAAACACTAAGGATTTCTGTGTGCAGTAGAGTAAAACTCTGTTTAAGTTTGTTTTCACAAGATAACTTTATTTTTGGTTTTCAAAGGCACTTGAGTCATTATAGCCAATAATTAATTAAAGCACCTCGATAGACAATAATAACATCCTGAAACAGAAATACTCCTTATGACAAATACTCTAAGTATGTAAAAAAAAAATTTGTGAGGGGGGATTCAGGTAAATACAAATTTATGCAAGATCAAGTTGTGGTACATCACTAGTCCTAAAATAGTCAAGTTATTATATTAGTGGTAGAATATAAAGATGCTATAAATTACAAAAGTCATGTTGCTTTAACCATTTTACAACAGCAATAAACTCATTACAGGATCAAAAACTATGTATTTCTAAAAATAATAATAATAATAAATAATTAAATAAAATCACAGTCACACTATTATTCCTCATGTTATTCCTTGTGATGCTGTATAAAAAAATGTGATGGTAAGCAAAGTATGCTAAGATAGATGCATATTTCACACTATTATATAAATATATAAATACTACTTTACATTAATAGTCTTATCCAAATTACTGCATGGAATTTCAGCGAATCTCATTAAACAGACACTTTACAAATAATTGTTTGTTTTTGTTTCTATTGTACTTGGTTTAGTTCATGGCTTTTATTCTTTAACAGACTTTTTAAAAATCCCAATGTGAACAATGTATTATTTCAGAACCAGCACTGCTGAAAAAGTTGGCATCCCCTAAAGGAGAGATCCCTCCGTATTAACACTAGGGCAGGCAGTAGAAAACAAGTATACAAAACATTCCAAGTTATTTTTCACATCTATTTCTAGATGTTTCTTTCTTTTTTAAACAGCAAAATGCTTATAACAAATAATTTCCTCTTCCATTTTATCCTAATTACTTAAACTTTCAAATGAGCCAGCTTAAAAGAGAAATTCAAAGGATATTCCCAAGCTGACAAAATCTAAAGAAAAAAAATACTTTGAATGACTGAGCACAAAAAATGTAGGCCTATTCTACATACTTTAAACTGCATTCCCACATTCCCAGCAAATACAAGCCAAGACACCTTTCTTAAATTGATTTCCTTTTCTAATCTAAGCTTTGCAAATACTGCATGCTTTTTTATTGACATTTAATGGTCACATAGTTGTGTATTTAAAAATACAATAAAACTAATAACATTTTGAAATATTATTTAATGTCAAATAACAGAGTTCCATGTAAATATGTATTAAAAAAAAGTGTTAAAAATATGTTTGATATATGCATGCATGTCTGTTTTATATATGCAAAATAAATATATAAACAGCACACACTTACCTTTCAGAACAAACTTTTATTTTGGATGCGATTAATCACAATTCATTTTTGCCCAGTACTAATTAAAATATAAATTATTCTTGTGCTTAAAAGCTGAATTATCAGCATCATCCTCAGTGTCACATGATCCCTCACAAATCATTCCATATGCTAATTTGCTGCAAACATGACTTGAAAATATTATAAAATTCTGCACTTTTGATCAATTTGATAGGTCTTTTATTAACTAAGCATATTCGTAAAAAATATATTATTTAACGCTGGTTTGTATTTATATATGTAAAATAAATATACACAGTACACCCAATTAACTAAGTCAAAAAAACTTAAATTTTGGATGCAAATAAGCACACATCACAAATTTTAATCAATTATTAAAATATAAACAATTCTTGTGTTTAAAGCTGAATTTTTAGGATCATCCTCAGTGTCACATGATCCTTCATAAAATGATATGCTAATTGCTACAAATATGACCTGAAAATATAATAAACTTCTGCACTTTTGATTAGTTTGATAGGTCTTTGATTATTTAAACATATTTATATAAAAATAATAATAATATATAATTTTTTGCTTGCAATGAAAAGAAAATGCATATGGAGGTAATGGAAATATGGATGCCATAATTTAAAAATGCAATCAGTAACATTTTACTGATTTATAAAATTCTGACTTTTCAAAACTGTCTATATAAAAGTAGTCTGTAATTTGTATAGAAAATCATCCAGCTTTAAAATCATGTTTGCCGACAACACCATTAGTTAAAGTTAGAAAAGAAAAACCCTGCTGTAATACCACTGAACTTGTCAAGCACAAAACAGTGAAGTAAAACCTGTTCCACCATTTCAAGCCGAACAAAAGAAATGCAAAGAAAACTCAAGGAAAACACTGGCAGTGTAACTTACCTACAAGAGCCTGGAAAAGTGTACTCTTAAATATGTTTATGACCCTCTCGATTGACAGTCTGAGATGAGGATCTCCAGTCTGACTGAGTTTAGTTTGGTATTCCTCCAAAAGCTGTAGTGCCCGCTGAGCATCTGAAAATATCATTATAAAGACTGCTGAGAAACATGTGCATAACAAATAATACAAATAGGCTATTAAAGTAGACTATATATTTAGAAAATAAAGTACTAGAACTTAAGGATAAAATATTGACTAGACAGTATTAAAAGGCTATAGAGTTTATAAATAAACCTCACCTTTCTGTCTCACAGGCATGATGAAGATTCAAAGATTAAACCCCTAAACTAAATAAAGCGACTGGCGTCAAGCATTGGGAAGAATGACGGATCACTTTCACTTTCGGTCGAGTCGCTTTGATTTCGCAGTGACCCACAATCACCGGTGATCGCTGACCGGGTCAATCTGACATGCGAGAGTGAAAGCTCGATATAAACAATCCGACAATCTGATGAAAACTATAAACGATCTCTTCATTCATAACAGGTCAGATGGAGCAGGACCTTTCAAGGAACTTTCAAACAACTCTGCACTTTCACAAACTTTCCGCAGACAAATGAATGAGGCAAATCACAGAATCGCGATGTGCATTACAAAGATTTGGGGAAACAAATCCTTCCGATGTGTTGCAATGGAAAAAGTGTTGGAACTAATAGTCCCTGTTGAAGTGGAAGTAAAGCTGACTCGCAGACTCTCCGAACATCTGTCCCGTTCCCTCCTGACTGAAGTCCTGGATCCGCACACGTCCGTAATCCAAACTTCTTCGGCGCTACACTTCCTCTTTCTTTCTAGTGTCCGAAATTCCCAAACTTTCCTGCAAAATGGCGACCTTGATATGCAAAGGGATCACATGATCTACTGATCTACTGCCTTCCCTCTGCGCTCAGAGGAATGGGCGCTCAGGTTTCTTCACTCAGCCGCCGCGAGACAGTGGAGGACTTTATTACATTTATCTTCACTTTGAGTAATTAAATCTAAAGAAACTAGGTAAGGACCGCAGAACATCAGTCTTGTTCACAGTATGGAGGAAATGTAGGCTATATTGTGTGCTGTATATTTAGTCTTATCTTCATTTGTGTCTTTTTAAGCAAAAACTTTATTTTGTATATAACTTAGCTTAGCTTATTTATTTATGATTATTTTAGTGTTTACAACATCGTGGGAAAAATAATTTACGTGAGATCACATCAATCCTCATCATAATCCATTTGCGTGTTTCTGCAAATGAAAATGGCTGTGATTGAGGTTTAAAGTGTCCTGAATTACCAGCTGGAATGATCAAAATCCTGCTTTACTTACTGATTGCCTGTACTGAGATTGGCCAATGCAAAAATATAATATTAAATATGTCCTTGCAAACTTTATATTGCATGTTTTTCTCATAAATTGCTGAGAGCCTATCCTATAGACCAAAATCATATTTTACTATAGATTTTTTTATGTAGCCAGTAAAATCAAATCAATTTTTTTTATTGACACACATTAAATAAACAATGTGCGCAAGCTGTGTAATAAGCATTTACATAAAGACATGGTTTTGATATAACAATAATGATTACTCTTACATGCCGATAGAGTGCATATGTCATTTGCAAATAAGCATTTCCTTTCATGACTTATTACACATTAGTAAATTGCATTTATGATTTGAGCCGATGATTAAACTTTAAAAAATAGACGAACTAAATTTTGTAGTGACTCTGTGCAAAATAATCATTCCTTCATTTTAATAAACTGCCAACTTATCCAGTATATGTTTTAGGCAGCTGGAGCTCTTCCAGCTGCAACCCATCACTGGGAAACACCCATATACTCTCATTCACACACATATACTATGGACAATTTAGCCTACAAACTTCACCTATAACGCGTGTCTTTGGATATGTGAGGGAAACCGGAGCACCTACAGGAAACCCACACCAACATAGAGCTGACAAAGTCCACACCTCATGCACCATACAAAATAATAGTTTCATATTCACTTGTTGTAACCTTACTTGGTCACATTATATGGTCTCATTTATTCACTATCATGTGGTGAAATATTTTACACATACAACTAGCATATATTCAAAATATTTTATACAGTCAGAATTATTAGCGCCCCTTTTTCTATGATTTTTTATAAACCCTTATCCTAACCTAACCCTAACCCCCTAACCCTAACCCAAATGATGTTTAACAGGCCAAGGGAATTTTCACAATATGTCTGATAATATTTTTTCTTCTGGAAAAAGTCTTATTTGTTTTATGTCGGCTAGAATAAAAGCAATTTTAAATTTTTTAAACACCCTTTTAAGGACAAAATTATTATTATAATTTTTTTTGATAGTTTTCAGAACAAACCATCACTATTCAATAACTTGCCTAAGTACCCTAACCTGCCTAGTTAACCTAATTAACCTATAGTTAAGCCTTTAAATGTCACTTTAAGCTGTATAGAAGTGTCTTAAAAAATATCTAGTCAAATATTATTTACTGTCATCATGGCAAAGATAAAATACATCAGTTATTAGAAATTAGTTATTAAAACTATTATGTTTAGAAATGTGCTGAATTTTTTTTTCTCTTTTTTTTCTCTGTTATAGAAAAAATAACAGGGGGTCTAATAATTCATGGGGGCTAATAATTTTTCAACTGTATATACTTGTATGTATAGACTTGAACCGTACATTTTTTTCCATAAATGTTATTCACATAAGGCATCACATAGATCAAAAACATATTTTACATAGAAACAATTTTTATAGCTTATAAAGTTTTATCTAAAATCGACCCTTATTAAATAAATTATAAGATATGCAAGGATAATAATAAACAATAATAAACATATAAGTATAATAAAATAATAAACATTTATATAATGTTTAATAATATACATTTATATAGACTATAATAATAAACAATATTCATTTGTCTAATAAACATTTACATAACGACATAGCTTGGATATGAATAGTTTTAAAAACATGAGTTTATAATTACAATAACAGGCCGATATATATGAGATTTGCAAATGAGCGTTTCATTTCATCACTAAATTATGTTTCTATGATTTGAGACATGATTAGACAAAAACTAAAAAGACTAAAAACTAAAATTTATAGTGACTCCATGAAAAACAATATTTTATTAAAATATTATGTTCACATGTTGCATAACTGTACTTGTCTCATTGTATGCTCTCATTTATTCACTATTACTGTATGTGGTTAAATATTTATTCAGTGTTTAATGCAAATTAGTTTAATCATTTAGTTCTGAAAAAAAAAGATTTTGTTTCATAACTGGTGATAAATCCAGTGTCATCCTATCAATGGCACACTGTTACCAGCAAACACAAAGTGTGTCTATTCGCTCCAGCTTTTGTTAGTTGTTTTGATGTTTGAAATGGCTTTTGTCATTTGAATCTTGTGAAGGGTGGATGTCGAGTCACAGGGTGCTGTCACATTGCCACAGTTTGGGTGGGGTGAAGTCTGCCACACACACACACACACACACACACACACACATACACACACACACACACACAAAAAACAGTGGTGTCTTTTTAAAAACGCCCAGTAGAGTTATTTTCTAGAGCATTGCAGACACAAAGAAACTATGGTATGAATGGCCGTACAAGCAGTAAATATTCACAGATTTACAATGTCCCATTGATAAAAAATGTGTACAAATTCAAAGCCGAATGAATACCATGTCTGAGCGGTATTTCCACAATTTTGATAGATACTTCTGCCACCCACACAGTTTGACAAGCCTGGTCTTGACTGCTTTTATTGTCTGGATATGCTTAGTGAATGCATTCTTACTATACAAATTCTATGCAAAATCTCAACCCGTTTCTCACACAATTCCTTATAAATGACCCAGACTGTTTGACATTAAAGTTGATAATATCACCACTGACTATTGTAGACCCCAGTTCACCTCTGTAATATGCATATGTATCTTTATTTTTCAGTTATATACAGAAACTTACTTCTGTGTAGCTTTAAATAAATAAAGCGTCCATCCTTCAGTGGCTATGTATAATTACAGTTGCACACACCCATTGCTTTCTTTGGAGGCCTGTAAGTGAAGAGCCTTGACATGGAATGCGTGTCTGTAACCGGACCTGAGCACTTCTAACCCTTGATATCGAAACAAGGGGGCTTAATAGAGCATACACATCACATGGGCTGGCCAATAATGAAGAGCATTTTAAATGACTGGAAATGAACCAAGGATGTGTATCAGATTCAGATATTAGAATACAAACCACCCACATAGTCTGTTTACTGATTTTTAAATTAATATTGTGATGTACACTCAACAAAAAAAAGGCAAAATAGTTTTTAAAAAAAACTACACTTTTTTTTGGAAAATAAATTAAAATCCACATTTTACAACTGAAGTGTTGGGCGTCACAGCAAGAAGGCTGCTTGTTTAAGCCCCGGCTGGGTCAGTTGACATTTCTGTGTGGAGTTTGCATATTCTCCGCGTGTTGGTGTGGGTTTCTTCCCGGTGCTCCGGTTTCCCCCACAGTCCAAAGACATGCGAGTATAGGTGAATTGAATAAGCTAAATTGACTGTAGTGTGTGTGAATTCAAGAGTGTATGGGTGTTTCCCAGTGTTGGGTTACAGCTGGCAGGGCATCTGTTGTGTAAAACATGTTGGATAAGTTGGCGATTTGTTCCAGTTACAGTTTTTAATCCATTCAGCTAATTTCCTTGTGGAAGCACTTTTAGCTTAGCTTTGCATAAATCATTACATTGGATAGACCGTTAGCATCTCACTCAAAAATGACCAAAGAGTTTGGATAATTTTTTGATTTAAGGCTGGAATATTCACTAGGTACATTGTGTATTAAGACAGATGGAAAAGTTGACATTTTCTAGGCTCATATGACTAACTATATTCGTATTATGGCTTAATAATTAAAGAACTTTGTTGCTGTACCATGGCTGCAGCAGGCATAATGATATTATGCAACACATTAAATAGTCCCCAGAATCAAGCCCAAGTCTTATGCACACTATGAGCGACTCGCAGTGGCGCCACGCTACTTGAGCAACTTCTGACAACATTTGTCTATATGAGCCACTGCAACTGTTGGCGACCAAGTGGGCATGTCAAGTGATGCTACAAAGTTCAACTTTATGCAAATGAAGATTGATTTTCTTGAGCAACAGCCAATAGGAGCATCAGCAGAGCTCACATAATCCTCTCTCAGCTTGCTCTGAGGCTGGTTTTATTCGTGCTGTATAGACCTACAAAATCCTACGTTTGCTGCATGTCGCCACCCAGAGAGACAGGCAGCTACAAAGTCACTGCTAGTGTGAATGAGGCATTACTTGCACCACCAGTTCGTATTTGCACTGCAAAAAAATGCTGTAAAATTTACAGTATTACTGTCAATTTTGTTTGTCAGTAATACTGTAAAATTTAAAAGTGCACTGTACTACAATGTGAAACCCAAAAAGTTAAGATAACTCAAACCATTTGAAGAAACTCATTGCAAAACCATTTAAAAGT